TTAAATATACTATATGCAAAAAAGATGGAAGAAAGAGCAAAACAATTCAAAACGTAATGCATTCTGGGAATTAAAGTATCTATCTATCTATCTATCTATCTATATGGCTAGAAACCTTCAAAACATTCAAACAAGGATTTGTCAAACAAAACATTTAAAACTTGGTTTTCTAGTTTTTAAATTTTAAAATGACAGTTGTATGATGAATTTCAATTCAAATTCAAATCATAGCGAAATTTCAAATTCAGCATTCTGTTTGCTAGCAAAAAATCAATTCAAATTCAATTAAACGCCATTTTCAATTGAGTTCTGAATGGCGCACAACCCTGCTGTCAACAGTTCAACTAACTTTTAACTAACCTACTTTTAACTAACAAAATTCTCTTCAAACTGTTGCTTTCTCGTGACAGTAGCTGACCTGAAAGACAAAATATACAGTAGAAGAAGAGCGTTTACCCTAATGCCTGCTGTAGCGCCCCTTGTGGCAACATTGAGAATGTTACATACTTATCTTGTTAGCAACAGATCTTTTTTTTTCTATATTGCAATGTACATCTGAGTGAAACCGATTTGGTTCTATCTGTTGGTTGTTGATTGGATGGCACTGGCAGCAGATCTGAATGCTAGTTTGCAGTCAATTGTAAGAAAGGGGCGGGGTTTAAGCAGACAAAATGATAGGAGAAGCCTGCCGCTTCAGCAGAAGATCCAGTTATAACATTCTGATTAAAAATTACAACAAAAAAATTACATGAAACATAGGCGTGGATGAATCATTCACAATAAATTCATTTAGAAAACAGATAGGATGAATTTACATTTCATGCCAACCTTAAATCATCTTCACTATTATTTCAGACCTCTTTACTTCAAAATAATGTCTTCAAACAGAAAAATCTTAAGAAAAAGTAAAACTGAGAGTGAGATACAAACACTGTAGGTCTGAATTAATTCTGTCCTCCCTACTCATCCTTTAAAGGGGTCATATGATGCGATTTCAATTTTTCCTTTCTCTTTGGAGTGTTACAAGCTCTTGGTGCATAAAGAAGATCTGTAAAGTTGCAAAGACTAAAGTCTCAAATCCAAAGAGATATTCTTTATAAAAGTTAAGAGTCAGCCACACCTACCTAAAACGGCTCGTTCTAACACGCCCCAACATACCTACATCGCTCTGTGGGAAGATTTGCATAACGCCGCCCAAATGTTCACGCAAAGAAAGAAGGCGTAACTTTTATTCTCGCTGTAGTATTGTTGCCTCCGCCGCCATGTCGTGAAGGCGCTGTGTTTCGTTGTGAAAGCGGAACTACTTTGTTTGCCTTCCAAAAGAGGACGATATCCGCTTCGTCATGCCTGGAGTTGATCCGTGCCGGTTGCTGAGGAAATACTACAACTTTGCGCTGTGGATCGCCGGATCAGCTTTCACCGTGGACGAAGCGGAGTCCAGTCCGGGGTCGTCACATGTGGTTCCCGCAAGCCCGCCGGCCACTCCTTCGTCGAATCCGCCGGCCGCGCCGTTCTCAAGCCCACCCGCCGCCACTCACTCTAGCCCACCGTGTGAGACGCAGTGTTTCGTTGTGAAAGCGAAACTACTTTGTTTGGCCTTCCAAAAGAGGACACGACTAGAAATCAGTGGTTAAGCTGTATTTACAACACTGTTCCAGAACAGTTCAACCCAAATATTCCGATGTGTCCAGCGCATTTTATGGAGGACTGTTTCCTGGCAGAGTAGACTACAATGCCGGCTGTTCTGACTCACAGACTGTAAGTACGTTTTTTTGGCAAGGGGCGTAACATTTCCATCACATGCTTCAGATATTCGGCCAATCACAACGCACTGGATAGCTGGCCAATCAGAGCACACCTTGCTTTTCAGACCGATGAGCTTTGTAAAGATCGACGCGTTTCAGAACGGTGGGGCATAGAGGAGAAATAATAATGTACAGTATGTGGAAAATAATGTGTTTTTTTAACCTTAAACCGCAAAATCACCGCAAAAATCACGTTCAGTTGGGGGGGGATGTGTTCGCGATCGGGCCCCCCTGTTACTCTGTTCCACTATTACCCCCCTGTCTGGCGCCCATGGATATAAATCAGATCTTTTCAGCAATGGTGTAATTGGATCATGGTTTTAAAAGGACAGTTCACCCAAAAATGAAAATTTTATAATTTAGGATACGTTTAGACAACAACAATGCACTCAAAAAAGAAAATATTTTTCCTTTGCATTTTTTAAAAAAGTTTTGTGTACAGACAACAACATTGTAAAACAATCCCCGTTCACACCGATCCGCGAAAATGACAAAAAACGCTGTATTATGCATGCCAGGCCAGTAGATGGCGATGTCACTTTGTAAAGAAATACTACGCATCTGCATACATTCCTATAGACTGAACACGTAATATGAATGCGTATGACGTAACCATTTACAATGGTAAATGAATGGCCAAAACATAAAAAGTTTTCCCTTTTTTTTTTAGTTGAAAATGGTGTCACGTAGGCTAAATGCCTCATGACTCACACTCATATCGTTCCAAAACCGTGTATGACTTTCGTACTTCTGTGGAACACAAAAGAAGATCTCAGTGTTTTTGTCCATACAATGTCAATGAAGTCCAATATTGTTTCTTCAAAATTTCTTCTAAAAGAAGGTTTTAAAACAACATGAGGCAAGTAATTTTATTTTTGAGTGAACTGTCATTATGGTTTGAAATTATCAATTTGTGCTCCATTCAGCACAGGAGCTGCGAAAGTCAATATATGACCAGTTGGGCGTTTATACAACCCAACATTATTTGCCGATTTATCATGGATTGATGGGTACATCAGCCCGGGGCTTCTCTTCCTCCATTCATCCCTTTCTCCACAGCTGTACACTTCCAGAGCTCTGCTTCCACCTCAAAAGCACCTTTGTTACTTCACCTTCCTGTCTCGAAATCACTCCTCATATTCCCGCAGAGGATGGACTTTTCCCTCTCGGATCACTCTTTCTCCCCGTCTGTCTCTCCAGCGGTCTCACTCTCTCTGCAGTCCATGAAATGATGGAGAGACAGTCGCCACATCCCATCGGTCCACGGCATTCGCTCACACACTTACAGGAGTTCATATAGCTTGTGTGCAGAGTCCATTACAGCGCATTAAAATCCACATGCATCTGCCTGTCTGTCTCTCTCTGCCTGTCTGTCTGTCCCTCCGACTCTAGAAGACTAGAACAAAAAGTGCCTTATGAATATTGATTCAAATGCAATCAAAACTGGAGCTTCAGCATTAAGGCACAAAGCTCTCAGTATCTGTCAGTGTGAAACCAGAACAGTTTGTGCTTTCTCAATGGATCATTTTTGCATTCAACCTGCTTCATGATGGGAATAGATGGGAATCTTCAATCCTAGAGGATAACGGTGATGCAACGCCACATACCTGCTGAGGCTGGTGCTGTCTGTCCTCTTCTCTCCTCCAGTCTGCTCACCCACCCTCGCTTTATCTTTCAGTGCTGTCTTACGCAGCCTCGTCCTCCTTCATTTCTCCTGTAACACCCATCCTGATCTCTCTCTCTGTCTCAGATCTGTGTCTTCGGTGGGAATCGTCTGCACCAGCCTATTGCTGGCCAGCGTGGTGTGTGTGTGTCCAAGCCCGCATGGCACAAACTGAGCGCATCTGATATTCATATAAACCCCCACTCCACCAGCAGCCCCCCCTCCTCCTCTTAAAGGTACAGTGAACCGATACTCTACACAGGTTCATGGATTGAACCACCATGAAGGAAAGAGGGGGAGGGTCGGATGGGTGAAGAGGGGAAAAAACGAGGGATAATTGCAGGATGGCAACACTACATGAACTACAGAGGTTGATTTGCACATACAGCTCCGGAAAAATCAAGCCAGGAGAGAAGAATTGAAATACAGATGATAATGAAGGTCATCTCTAATCAATTGATTAATGATGCACTGCACAAAAAAGAATAATAATAAAAAAGTAATTATACTGTATTAAAACACAGACTCTAAGCAAGTGCATATAATAAAGTATTATTTAACAAAATATATTTATTTTAAAAAATTTAGAATTATATAATAGTACTAATATTTCAATGTAAAACAAAATAATACGCATTATCTAAATATTTTAATCAATAGATTAAAATAAACATTCTGTAATCCATCGGTAAATCAATGATCAACCATTTAATGACACACTACACAAAAATGAAATAATTATGATAAACAAATGCCACAGAATCTAAGCAAGTGTATATATTAAAATATTATTTCTATCAAATATATATTTTTAAATAATTGAAAATATTCTAGAATTATATACGTATAATACTAATATTAAAACAATATAAAACACAACATAAATGTTATATCATAATACAAACTTCTAAAATAAATGAAATGCTTTACATAAAAGATTTTAAAATAAATGTACATAATATTGATATTAAATTATATTTTAAGTATCATGCATGTATGTAAAATATATTTACTCAAATACTTTGTCAAATCAGAATGTAAAAGCAAATAAAAGTGTTTTAAGATTGCAATAACAGATGTTGATATATCTTAAATTTGATTTGCTGTATTATGTTGGTCATCAGGTAAAAATGAACTGTTCAGCAAAGGTACTTTGGACAGAACAGACGTGCCGTAACAGAAGCTGAAATTCAATCCATTTCTGTCACACTAAACTCTCAGTGTCATTTGAGCTTCAGAAGAGAGACAAACTATTCCATTCACATCGAACATCAAAATGCATTTGATTTTATCCTTAAAACTACAGGAAATATGTATACATTTAATGCAACTCGAAGCATTGTGCAGATCAGAACTGTGGCCAATTTTATTTCAGTTAAATCACTTTAAATTGGAAGGTAAGAATAATTAATCATATGAACTCAGAATTACTTGCACATGTATGCACTAATTGGAACAATGAATCGAACTCCTGATCTTGATCAAATGAAACCGATTTTGAATCCATTTAGAGCACCATGTTTAAACTCAGAGGAGCCTCATGTGTTGTTCTCTGTGTCTGTGGCCTAGTTTCAGCAGAGCTTCACCTTGCAAACACCACAGTAAGGTACAGTCTGAGTGTGTTCATGTGTGTGTGTGTGTGTGTGTGTGTGTGATAAAAGTGTGTATTGGAAAGGTGGAGATGAAGCTTTTATGCAGGTTTGGGGACATTGTTCAATCTTAAATTAATCATACCTCATAAATAAATAAGAGTGGTGACTGACCGGTTGAGTGTCTGCGGTAGGTAAGGTGGAGCTACGGCAAGCTGGTGAAGACACAAAAGGGGCACAAAAGTCACAAGCCAAAACAATGCTGAACTATATAATGGCTAGGTTTAGAATGAACACTGCAAAAAAAAAAAAAAAAAACTGTATTTGTTTTCCATGAATACGTGAGTGAAATCCAAAGCTTTGTTTTCCATCATTTTTTGTTAAATAAATAAACATATGTAATTTATAAATAAATAATTGCAATTTTTTATGCTATTAAATTCGATCACCTTGATTGATCAATATATAATTTACATACATAATTATACATAAACCTAACAGTATATATTATAATTATCTGTTAGATTTTATGATTAATTATACAATAATATTATGTATATTTTCTGTTAAAATATATATTATGTAAAAATTTATAATGAAGAAACCAAATAATTATAATTAGTAATATAATTCATAAATTATAATAAATACATTTATAAAAAATGAACATTTAAAAAAAAATTTGCAAATTCAATTGATTATAATTATATATTATAAT